ACCTGGGAACTGACATGGGGCCCAAGGAGACCAAAGGTAACAAGATCTAGAGCAGGCATCTCTGTTTGTCTTGGCTGCAGGGATGTTTTCTCAGAAAACTGAACAACACAAAACAACTTCTCCTTCCCAGTAACCCCCCCTCTCCAAAATAATTTGGCTTTAGGAGAGTGTTTCCTTTTGCTTCTTCTCCTCCCACCTTTGCTTGATGCTTTAAGCATATCCCCATCCAGCGCTCAGAGCAAAGGAGTTTCCAAACATTTTTGACTGGAAAGTGGGGCAGGAGTGGGGATCGTGGAGGATTCCCAATGTTTACAGCAGGCACTTGTGGCACACGTGCCTCAGCTCTGTCTTTCCTTGTGCTTGTGTTTGCTAACTGTGTTCTGAACTTCACAATCAGGACTAAGCACGGCCTTCGCTAGGATAAACTTGTTTTCCTCTCTCAGGTTGCCTGGCACTGGCACTAATCACAAGAATTTTTCAGCAAGCACAAGGGGCGTATCTTTGTCTACAAACAGCAAAGGCAAATAAAATAATATTACGGTCAAACGGGTGGGGTGTTTGCAAGCTAAACAAGCCTGAGAATCCCAAGACAAGCCGTGATTCATTTCCCAGTGAGTTTAGCTTGCAGTTTAGAAGAACTGAGCGCCAGCATCAAGCACCATCTCCCCAGCTGGGTGTTAAACAGTGTTTTCAGGAGGGGATGGGCACTGGCAGAGCAGCTCTGACCCTGGAAGAAGCCAGGATGCAAAGAGATTGTTGGTCAGGAAAAGCCTTTGACATGAATCCTTTAGCAGATGCCTTTGGCAGAGGTTCAGAATCACAAGTGGGGAGGGTTTGGCCCTGGGGCTGCTGCAGCTCAGGGCTGTTGCTGAAGCTCTGTGGGTGCTGAGCCAGGGGAGCAGCACCCAGGCTGATTGCTGGGGGTGCTCTCCCTGGGGTCAGTGTCCCCAAAAGGTGCTGGGTGCTGTGTGAGGGAAGCAGCACTCTGCCGGCTGCCCCGTTCCCCAACCCTCTCAGATCCCTTCCTTGCCAAATCCTCTTGGAGAGAGGCTGAGCAACGGGGCCAGGCTGATGTAAAAACACACTCGTGTCCGTCCAGGCGTGCAGGGTATTGCCAAAGTGGACAGACTGTCCTGCCTGGGCCTGCCAGAAAAGTTGTGTTTTGTCCAGCGGAAAAGAAAACATCCTTTTCTCTTTGTGCTTTGGAATTTGTCTCTTCGGGCCCTGCTCTCACCAGCAGAGTCCCTCTCACCGTGACCACTTTGGCCACCCTGAGCCAGGGCCGGGCCAGTGGAGCCTGGCAGCACCAGCCAGGCTCAGCTGGTCCCCTCACCCTTTTCAAATTTGCATTTCCCTGCTTTTTTAAGGCAAATAAACCAGCCAGATTGAGTATGAAAAATCACCTTCTTTCTAACAAAAAGGATCCTGTCACACAGCACTTCACTTCGGAGCAGGCAGCTGGCATCTGTGAGAGCATTAATTGAAAACATTCGTGCTTATCCAAGCAGGATGCATCATAAGGACCTTCAGTGGCCATTCTTCCAGCTTTTCCTTTGCAGCCAGTTGTAAATTTAATTTCTGGCATTCTGTAAATCTGACTTTCACTGCTGTAACTTCCTCCCTGCAGCAGAGCTTCGGTCAGTTGTCCTTGAGCACCATTTCACAAAGAGCACACGTGAAACACCCCAGAGCTCAGTGCTGGGAGGGTTTGCTGTGTCAGTGGTGTCACCCAACACCACAGCCAAAAATCCTGAAACCTCTGCACCAGGTCGGAATGAAAAATAGCCAAGTGTCAGCCTCAGTGATCAAATTTCCTCACTTTGTCTGTTGATTCCCATCTAGCTCGTTAAACAAAACAAACCTGTGGAGAAAGAGAAGGTTTGACATGATTTACTACCTATGCTGGCAGTGTGTGCAACCCACCCAGGTGTCTAGACAGTTTGAAAAATACAGATCATATGTGGGAGTAACAGCTGGTACTCCTCAAGTCTCTCTGCTGGACCCCAAATTAAGTAGAAACAGACCTTATCAATATTGGGTGGTTCTCTCCCAAAGAAAACATCCAGCCTGGGGCAGGAAATTCAGCTACTGCTTTGGTGGATGGCACTTCACCTGAGCCTACCAGAAAGTTCTGCACTCTCAGGGTCCTGTTCTGAGAAAAGTGAGAGAGCAAAAAGTTCAGACCCATTTCCAATGTGGGAAACCTTCAGTATTTTTTCATATAAGGCAAAAAAACCGCAAAGATAAAACCCAACACCTGTGTCCTACCAGATTCCAGTTTAGGCAGGTGTTTTTGCCTGCCCATGTATCATTTAAAAAAATAAGTTGGAGATCCTGTTTGCTTGTGCAGGCTTTAGACTGAAATGTTGTTAGGTGCTCCTAAATAATTGCTTAATAAGAGATTCTGAGAGGGAACAACGGCAGGCTCTGGTAAGAACAGGCATTGCAGCACTCCTCAGGACACGCCAGGTGCTCTTTGCAGGGTTACCCAAAAGTGGCTCCTCTGTCTTGGCCCACGTCCCACCAACACCTTGGCACAGCAGAGCCGCCCCTGGGCACGAGCTGCTGGCTGCAGAACAGCCACAGCTGATGGCAGAGGCAGCAGCAGGGCTGGGTGCCCCAAAAGTGTGGGCAGGAGTCTGAATATTAAAGGATAAAATGAAAAATTGCAGGTTAACCCCATTTAATGAGGACTCCAGCCTGGGATGCCCCAGAGTACAGGATGGGGTTTTCCAGAGTGTGTGTGGGGCAGAAAGCCAGGGATGGCAAATGGGACTGCTCCCAGGTCACAGATTTTACACAGACTGTGTCCCAAGGCCAGGCAAACACCCAGGAAATCCCTTTCAGCAGGTATCTCTCTTCTGCAGGAGTCAAATTTGTCACAGTTCAGGAAAAACACAAACGTCTGCCCCACTTCATTGTATTTGAGAATTTATCATCCCTCTGATGGGGGGGAATAAGATTTATAACTCGGCTAAGCTCCGGCCCAAGAGGCTGCCCTGGGCTGTGGCTGCTCACCATGGGCTCAGCTCAGGCCCTTGGGTGCTTTCATTGCAGGAGGCTGTAAATCAGCTGGGCTGTAAATCAGCTCAGCTCTCAGGCAGCAGCGTGGCAGCAGAGCGGTGTGCTGCTGCTCTGAGCTGGCACCTGGCAGTGAAATCCCAAATTTATACCTGCCCGTGCCCGGCGCAGGGCGGGCAAGCAGCACGGGGTGCCACAGGAGCAGAACAGGGCACAGGGCAGCCCCAGCAGTGCTGGGAAGAGCAAATTGTACAGCAAGAGGCAGACAAAACATCTGGCAGCTGCTTCAAATAGTTTTGTGTCTGAGGGGCAGACAAGCCCGCAATAGTTTCGAATGAAAACATGTGCAAAGGCAGGGTCGGTGCTCCAGTGTGTTTTGTGTGAGCACTGAATGGGTTCTGTTCCTTTCAGCACTGTTTTGTAAGCCAAGAAAGGCTGTGCTTTGGGTTAGGTTTTTAATTTTAATAAACTCTACTAAATAAATCATGATATTTCCTTCTCCAGTCAAATGCAACTTTGGCATGGGATCAACAGCATTAGCTCTGCATAGGAAGCGTGTGGGAGAGAAGAGAGGGCAGAGCCTAGGAACTGTTTTTCATAATTGTCTTACCTTATGCAGGAGAAAAGGTGTGACTGCCAAAATAAGTTTTTAAAAGCGTGATGCACGTTCTTTCAAGTTCCCACATCTCAGGCCTGGGGAAAGGGAAAATTGCCTTGATACTGGCAGAGGACTGAGGTCCCGAGGGGAGGCTGGGCTCCGGCAGGGAAGGGAATTGAGCTCAGAAAGAAACTCAGTCCTGCAGACAAAGGAGAGAACTGGCAGCTGCCTCCCCCCTGCCAGGGCTCCTGTCCTGGCACGGGCACAGCTTTGTCAGGAGTGCAGCCTGCACCCAGGACAGCCTTTCCCTCCTGAGCAGAGCTTGACAAGCTGCCAGGGAAGGATGCCACGTCTCCTCAGCAGCTCCTCGACTCCTGCCCCCTCGCAGGCTTTTCTGGACACAGATCACTCTCAGAGCTCACGGGAGGGGACAAAACTCCACTGCTCGTGCACAGCACCAGGATGCCAATGTTCTCCCAGAGTGGCTCCAGCACAGGCAGGCAGCTGTCAGGGCCAGGAGCCTCCCAAAAAGGAGGAGCAGCTCCATGTGGAAACCTCCTGAGTCAGCACAGGAGGAGGAGGAGGAGGAGGAGGAGGAGGAGGATGCTGGCAGGGCAGCATCCTGACACAAGCAGAACCTGCAGCTTTCTCTGCTCCTCACAGAGGCAGAGATCTGCCTGCCACGCTGCCAGGGCTGGGAGGGAGGCAAGAACAGCAGAGCTCCACTGATTTATTAGGGCCTGCTAATCTGTGATATCATTTGTTGATCCCATCAGGGCCAATCCCCAGCTCATGACTTCCTCCCCCGTTGCCATGGCTCTGTACATAAACACTGCAGGCTCCCAGCCCCGAGCAGGTCATTTGTTTCAAATATTCCATGCAGCTGGAACACGAGCCTGTTTGGGTGTCTGGAGCTGAGCATGAACTAATTCCTCAGTTCTGTGCACCCTCCAGCCACTCCCAGCCCCAACTGCGAGGGAGCTGGGCAGAGCAGGCACAAAGGCAGAGCTTCCAGCAGCAAACCACAGCTGTGACCCCTGGATTTGCTGGGTGGGGAAGCTCAGCAGCTACAAACCCTCCTCTGCATCATGTGCTTTTCCACAGGTAAGAGACACCCTAAAGTTAAAAACACCCAACAAATCTTGTCCTGACTGGAGACAAGAGGCAAGAAAGCACTTGCCTTTTTTTGAGCCCTCCCTCCCCACCACCCTATTAGTGCACACCTTTTAGATGCCAGCTTTAAACTGTTTTTCTTCCAAGCACAGATAATGCCCCTGCTCTGCCTGTCTGGGCAGGCTCCTCGGGAACAAACTCACTGCTCGAGTAGAAACGACGTGCAGAGGAATCTGATCAGTTCATGCAAGTAAAACCCATCACCAAGTAATACTTAATAAAGTTTATTAGGTTACTGAGTACTACCTACAGTCATAAAATAGAAAGAATTCTAAACTGTACAGAGTCATGTCCTGGTGAAGTGAGGAGAGATGGAAATGAGGGAGCACAAAGAGCATTAGAAGTAGGGAGAACACAGCTGCTTCCCTGGAGTTCTGGAAGACACTGGTTCAAGTTGAAGGCAACCAAGCAGGGCTCCACACACACTGAATTTTGTGGCCCACCCTGCAACAGAGACTAGTACAAAACCCTACATTGAAAAAAAAAATCTCATATAATATTAGAATAAAAAAGGGGCACGTCACACCCCGCCCAGTCTTGGCACCAACTCTGTGCTTTAAAAAAATACTATGCAAGTAGTTTATTTTCAAAAAGGTACCTTACAGCAGCTGTTTAAAACATGTTCTTATACATACACCTCACATATATATATATATTAACATTTTCAACTGAACTCATTTGTACCTACACAAAACCGAAGGGATAACTCAAAAGCAAAACCAAAACAATCACACAAACATTTTTCAAGGAAAAAAACACAAAGAAATGTGCAAAATAACCCCAGAAAGGCAGCATAGTAACCTGTGGAGAGGTCAAGAGAGCAGCTCCTGCTAAGGAAGGAGTGTCATCCCCTTTACCTGGCTCCTGAGGATCTATTTGGGATGTGCTGATTTTGCCTGGATTGCTTGTCCTGTTTATTGCAGCTCTCTCCTGCTCCCCAGCTCTGGGGAGGTTCAGCTCCTCCCTGCTGTGCCTGAAGATCAGCCCTGGCCTGGTGGATCTGCCCTGCTGCTGGTGGCACTTCTGGCACCCAGCAGGGCACAGGGACCTGCAGGTGAGGCTGCTCTGGCATGGAACAAACCTGCCTTGGGTCAATCTGAGCAGCTTTTCAAGGAGGGAATTCCCTGGCAGTGCTATTAGGGAACGGGAAGGTTTCTCTGCAGCCTCAGCGTGGGGGGACAGGACCTGCAGCTGTGGGACACAGCTCAGCACCATCCCACCCTGCTGCACAGGTCTGTCCTTGCCTGCCCCACACCCGCCAGGGGTCCCACAGCAGAAGCTGCAGGTTTCAGGCAGGAAGGGGGCACAGCCTGACTGCAAAATCAGCTGTCGAAGCCACCAGGAGGAGGCAGGGCAGAGGATGGAGCAGGAGGAGCACTGGTGGTAAAGGAGAAAGCAGGAGTCACAACCTGTGAAACAGCAACACAGCAAGGTGAGGAGTCCCAGCACAGATACAGACATCAGCAACATGACCACCTTCTCCAGGCCAGCAAGTGTCCTGGTGGAAGAAGGGCTCTTGGTTTTGGTGCTTCAGGGTGTGGGGTTGTACTTTTTGTTTTTTTGGCTTTTAAATACTCATTAATTAATTCTTTATGGTATTCCAGACTCTTTCCAACTTTGCTGCCCATCCTGAGCCTTTCCATTCTCAGCACGTGGCCTTGACATTTCTATTCCTAATGCCTCCTCTTCCCGCAAATTATGCTTTAATTCTTACTTTTAGCATTATTGTTTTATTATCACCCTTCCCTTTAGCTGGTACAGAAGAACCACTGCCCTCGACCCCAGGGAGGCAGCAGGAGAGGGGAGCCCAGAGCCTCTGTCAGTGTTCCTTTTGCGACTCCCAAGGAACAAAGCACCCAGCTGTGAGGCCAGGACTGCCCCAGAGGGAGCAGAGGGAGGCTGCAGCAGCTGCAGGTGAAATTCATGGCAGCAGGGATCCTCCGGGCAGGCAGCTCCAGCCTGGGGAGCGCAGGGCTCCGCGGGGCAGCTCCATCCATCCTGGTTCCCGCTCTGGCCCGAGCACGGGGTCACTGGTAGAGCAGGTAACTCTTGAGGGAGGCTGGCAGGGGCAGGCTGGGGATCTCAGCCAGCCTCTCCTTGCCCAGGGCCAGCCTCACGGCTCGCCGGCACAGGTCCATCAGGGGCAGGGGTTCAGCTGGGAAGAGAGAGCCGAGAGTTAGGCTGGTGCACCCACCCTGCTGCTTCTGACCCCCAGCACCCCGAGCAGGGGCACCGAGCCCCTCTGCAGCCCCTGGGCCGCTCAGCCTCAGCTCCCCGAGCGCTGCAGCAGGTTTCTGTGGCTGCTGTGGGCATGAAACAGCCTGCAGCAATACCAGCTGCAAGTGCCTCCTCTGCAATCCCATCCCTTCCAGTCAGATCACACCTGGCTCGTGCCTCCTCCTGCAGTGTCCAGAAACTTTTGTGAGAGTCGCTGAAGGAAAAGGCGACAGCAGCCAGGGTGCCACGGGGTCTGGGTGCCCCCAAAGCAGCATGATTTATCTCATACAGGAGGGGAGCAGCTGGCAGCCCCTCCACTTGTACTGAGCCCCCATGAAGACAAATCCATCTGTCAGAGCTTGGTGTCACTGCCTGCACCGGGACACTTCCCAGCAGAGCAGTCCCTCGTGTGTCAGAGCTGGGAAGGACACAAGCCTTTGGCTATCTTTTTCTGCATCCTGTACTTAAAGCCCTGAACAAGATAACACAAGTTTTTCAGGAATGGCACACGGGGCCCTTGGCTGCTGAGGAGTCACTCACAGCCCAGAGGTGACTGAGGTCAAAGCCAGGGCTAAACCATGCCAGCTGCACTGGAGGAAGGTCACAGCAGCTCCTTACAGCCTGGCTGAGCTCACCTTGACACTGCTGAGGCCTGAGGGCTTTGTCCTGCCCCCAGCGAGGGCTGACACATCCCAGAGCAGATAACTGGCCATCCTCCTGTGGCCTGAGGGCTCTGCTGCACCTCTCAGAGCTTCCTCTGCTCGCAGACACCTGGAAGCACCCACAGGGGAGCTTGGCTGAGAAGCTGCAGTTTCCAGCAGCTTTGCTGCATGCCTGCAGCTGCCCTGCTCCACACCAAAGGAACCTGGTGCTCACAGGACCAGCACCACCACTGCTGCTCTGTGTCGGGGCTGTGCCACCCAAGCTGGCCTGGCTGCTCCTCAGGGAGCACCATGGGGACGGGTTCCTGCAGCAGGCTGCAGCTCTGCTGGGGCTGGGACACTGCAGAGCCCCAGCATGGGCAGCTCTCCTCTGGCTGGCTCTGAAAGCTCTGGGGCACAAGCTGGCTGCGTTCAGCCTGCCCCAGTTCTGCCTGCCCTGCTCAGGGACAGCTGGCACAGAGGCACTGTGGCCAGCACCCCTGGGACAGAGCCTCGGGACACCCACAGAACAGCTCATTTCACTTCAGTGGCCTTCAGAGGAGAGGCTTTGCACAGACACTCAGGTTTGTCCCCACCCAGGCTGCGCTGAGAGCAGAGAAAGCACACACACACACCCAGCCTCCCATTCACAGGCAGCACAATCACTGGACAGTGCTGCTATTGAGTGCTCAGAAGTGCTCGGAGCCAGACACCTTCTTTCTCCCTGTGCCAGAACAGCATCCCTGCTGGCCTGCTGCCCACGATTCACTCCTCAGCTGGGAGCACAAGCAGCTCCAGCCCTGGAGGTGGCCCTTTCCCTGCTGAGTGCAGCCCTGTGCCAGCAGCTCCACAGACTTTGCTGGCTTTGAGTGGAGCTGCAGGTTTTGGCTCTGACCCTCCAGCAAAACCTGGTTCCTGGAGCTGCTGACATTCTTTAAGCTGTCGTGGCAGAGAGCTGGGCTTCCTTTGGGTGGGAAAATGCTCTGCCAAGAGCTCTCTGTTTGGTCTTGCAGAGTTGAAGTGTATTTCTCAAAGCACTTGCAGGTTTTGCTCCTGCCCCTTTGCAAGGCTTTCCTGGTCATGGTGACAGCTCCGTTTTCTGGTGCCTGGTGGCAGCTCTGTGGCTGGGCCAGCATCAGGACACCTCCAGCACAAACAGAAGAGCTCGATGTGCTACAGCCCTTGAGCAGACACTGTCCTGGAATGCAGGGGGAACTACTCTTCATAGCAATACTGCCAAATTTATTTCACTAGCAACATAAATCCAGATTTTAATCCACTTCCTTCACCTCTCTCCTCCACCCTACCCAGAGGACTGAGTCACAGTCTGGCCCCATGGGAACTTCTGACTATGAGAGATAACAGACTTTAGCACATTTGGACAGCCAAATTTATTACTAAGCTTAGCTAGAGATTGATGTGCCTTTAGTCAAAGGGCTGGCATGCAAGCTGGGCTGACGACAGCATCCAGCCCCCTGCTAGAAACGAGCACACCCTGCTCTGAGAGAGGCAGGGAAGTGAGCTGCTCTTCTGAAAGATGGAAAACAGTCCCATTTTCTTAGATGGGAAGATCTGTCCCTGTTCTTGCCTGCAAGGGGTTTTAAATGTTCCCTTTACGGGAGGGGATTGTGTCAGAGACTGATTTCTGTAAAGAGACACCAGGATTCCAGTGCCAGTGATGCAACTGCCAGCAGAACGCTCCTCTGGGAGCAGTACAAGGTTTCCCATTCTAGCTGGACAGCTGGCATCACTTTTTCCCAGCACAGCACCTGCCCGAGCCCTGCCTGCTCCTGCAGAGAGCCTTGGGGACAGCTGAGCTGTGCAGCCACGCTGGCTCTGTGCATTGGCACCGAGGACTCAGAGCTGCACCCGGCAGCAATCCCGCTGCTGGCTCCAATCCTCACCCCTCCAGAGAGGGGAAATCCCCCAGGACAGCCCGGCAGGACTCATACTCACGGTCAAGCCCGTTCAAGTAGCACATCCGAATTTCACAGTGGCCCCACACGGCGCTCACCACCGGGTAGAGCTTTTTCCCCTTGAGCCCTCGGAAGGCGACCCCCATGTACTGCCCGTCCACGATGAAGCTCAGCGTGCCGTCGTCCATGTCCAGAACCACCAGGAAGGAGTCGGGCACGATGAAAGTCTCGTCGGGCTCCAGGAAGGCGGGGTAGGTTTTGCTGGGCTGGTTCTTGCCGTCGTGGTAGAGTCTGTTGCGCCCCAGGTCCCAGCCCCAGGACTCGTGGTTGTTGCCCACGAGCGTCGTGTAGCCCACGGAGTGCAGGGGGGCCTCGGCCGTGGCCACGCCGACCACGGCGTGGGTGCCCCGCTGGCGCATGGCCCAGGTGATCTGCCAGACGTGCAGCCCCCGCGTGTAGCCCACCTTGCCCCTGATGGCGTCCGTGCTCTGGGCCACGGGGTGCCGGTGAAACATCAGCTTGTCGTCCTCCTTGACGAACACGTTCAGCGAGCGGTCGTCGTTGTTCCACGAGTGCAGCAGCTGCACCTCGTAGGACACCGGGGGCATGTCCAGCAGCAGGTCCAGCCGGGTGGGCTTGCTGTAGTCCAGCCCCTGCAGCTCCTGTTTCAATGGCCTGTACACAGGGTCCCTCATATCCACGGTCTTTATCCCACCCGTGACCTTCTGGCCCATGGTGCGTCCTGGCCTCGCCTCCTTACAGGCTCATGGGTTTACCTGGCAGCTCCTGCTGTCATGCAGCCCTGCAGAAAAGGTTGCCAGGAGGCTTCGTGGAGATGTGCAGCGCTCAGCGTTGCCTAATGGGTGGAAAGAAAAACAAGAGACCAGTTAAACATTAGCACGCTCGGCCCAGCGTGCCACACTCACAGAGCACAGGGCTCATCTGCACTCCCAACACCGTGTGCTCCTCTGCACCACCCAGGAAGGGCTGCACACATTGGTACAGGGCTGAGGGACAATTCTCTTCAACTCAAGCTCTGCTGATTACCTCGGGGGCCCTGACAAAAGCTGCTGGGTCCAGCCCTGGGGGACACTCATCCCAGCAGCTTCTGGCCCCTCTGAACCCCGGCAGCCAAGGGCAGATAAAGCTTTGCCTGGCTTGTCTCAAGTGAGCAGCTTCGCTTGGGGCAGCTTCTCTTCTCCAAGAGCAAAAAAATCCCCAGCTTCAGTTGCAGAGCCCAGGGGGAGGAGCGAGATCCTTCTCACAGCTGAGCAGTTTTCCTTCCAGACTGCAGAGGAACCTCGGGGATGTTGGAGCCAGCTTGGCCAGAGCTCCTCGCTCGCCCTGCGCACCTCTCCTCCAGCCCTGCATCCCCTCGAGTGTCTCTGCTCTCACTCAGCAGCACAAACAGCCCTCTGTCACACAGCTGCCAAACTGGGGGCAGCTATTAAGAGAATTAGAAGTGGGAGGGGTGCAAATGAGCTTTCTAAGAAAAAAAATGTGTTATTTTAACATTTCCTGATGTGAGGCAATCATGCAGCGCTTCTGCCAGCTACAGTCACAACACTTACTCACAACCAAGGACCTCATCTGGCACAGAAAGCAGAGCATGAATCAGATCTGGTTTAAAAATAAGATTACTGGACATCAGCAAGGCTTCAGCTAGAAGGTGAACAGGGAAGGCTCATGTATGTTCTGGGTTAGGGGTGAATTCAGCAGCTTCCCTACAGGCTTTTCCTGCCAAGGTGTGCCATTGGAGCAGTGAGTTAAATCCCAATTCTTAAGTAACAAGAGTCAAGACTATTTTTTATTTCCTTACCTACTTTCTAAAAAAATCATTAATGGAGAGGAAAAGGCCTGAGATTCTTTGAAAGTCACATCCCAAAGCACAAGCTGCAGAGCAGCTATTTCAGACTATTCAGGGACCTCAGATGCTGGGCACTGAGACAGAAGATGCTATTTAAATAGGTCCAACCATGTTATAGCTGCTGAGATGACCGCCACATCCTGGAAGTTAAATAAATACCATCCACAACATCCAAACAAATCCAGGAGTGTGTAAGCCGGCTGGTCACCTCTTGGAATCCAGAGCTTCCCTCTGGCTGGCCTGGGACCCTGGCAGGGGTCAGGAACCCCCCTGGACAGAGCCCCCAGAGACACTGTCTGTGATCTCTGTCCATGGAAAAGAGTTTTCAATCTTACAGCATGAATTACCAGCTCTGAGTGTTTGATATCAGTAATAATTAAGCGTGGCATGGGTGCAAAAGTAAAATTTTAGGATTCTAGATTAGGGGTCCAAAGGGGACAAGGTGGAGGAAATTGGGTGTGCCTTGTTCTTTTTGTCCTTCTTCATGCCCTCCATGTCTCACTGTGGTGTTGGCATTTTTCTGTTGGTTCAGGCTGGGGACACACTGTCCAACGTAGGTGACAGATATTGGCACGTTCTTGTAAATGCAGCCCAGGGAGTTTCTGGTATTTAATGTTTGTCATATCCCACTGAGGGCAGAGCCCCACACGCTGCCCTGCAGGACAGAGCTGGGCAGGGCAGCAGAACATGTTAGAGATAAACAGAATAAACAACCTGGAAACCAGCACAGACCAATTATGGCTTCTGCTTTGGCAGCGGGGCTGACAGAGAATTTCTACAATCTTGGAATCATCAAAACCTCAGATTCTGACAGTCACCAGCTGAAAACCAGCAATAACAGCACAAGCAGCTGAGGGAGGGCAGCCAGGGGATGCCAGTGCATCACCCTGCCACAGCCCAGGGTCCCCGTGGCTCCCAGCCCCCAGGACTCTGCAAGGAGCAGCAGCATCTCCAGCCCAGGCATCCCAAGGGCCAGCCAGGACAGACATCAGCTGAGCTTGCCTGGGAGAGGCACCTGAACGCTGAGCCAAGCAGGGATTTCTGAGAAGCTTGGAAAAGCTCTTTGCTCGGGCTGGGATAAAGCCCAGAGCTGCAGGAAGCACCAGGTGAACTCCCTGGCATTCCAGGGCCTGAGGCACGTGGACAGGAGCTGTCAACAAGGGACTGGCAAGGCACACGTGGAAGTCCACGGGCAAATTCAGCTGCTGGAATTTTGATTAGGATAAGGGAGTGAAACATTGGCCGAGGGAGGAGAGGCAGAGGTTTCCTGTGCAGTACATGGGAGAACACGGCATAGGAAACCAGAACCAAAACAAAGCCGACTGCAGGAGTACTGCTGCAGGCCTCTGTGAAGCACAAAACACTCAGAAGTAAAGGAATCTAATTGTGCTCTTCATTAGCAAAACAATGCCTTGTTCATTGTGGCTTTTTGCCTTTTGCCAACATAAGCTTCATGGTATTTCTCAGGCTGCTGCAGCAGAAGGGAATGACCCAGTGAGAGACACCAGGGGCAGGAGAGCCCCGAGTGCCCGCTCTGCCCCTGGAGCAGGCTCCAAACCAGGCACACATCACCTGCACCGCTCAGGAGCTCACAGCAGATGAAAGACAACGGGCACAATAAAGAGAGAGGGGTGAAGAAAGGAAAAAGATTGGAACCAAGGGGAGGCTCAGATGAGAGCAGGTCAGGTCCATCACCCCACGCCAGGACTGAAGTGCAATACAGCTCCTGATGAGGGCAAGGCAATAATCCCTGCTCACAGCTGCCTCTGCTGCTCTAGAACTGCAGTGGCACCTTGCCCCGCAGCCAGGAACACAACTGTGCCCTCAGCTCTTAAAAGGAAAAGCCTCTTCATGCAGCAGGAGGGAGACAAAGGCTTTTCCTGTGAAATTAATGCGTTCATGCCCTGGGCAGCTGCACGGGAGAGAGCCAGCCATAAATGAGAAGATATGCTGGGGAATGAGCTGCTTCAAAACCTTTGAACTGCTACAGGTTTAAGTACAAATGTAAACACTGAAAGTGATTTTATCTATCTTATCAACAGCTCCGGCTTGCTGCAACTCTGCTCTGCTTTACCAACACCAGCACATCCCCGTGATGCTCACTCCTGCTCCCGTGCTGCTTTCAGTTCTAGTGTTAACCTGGGCTTGAAAACTGAGGAGTGAGATTCTCAGGGTGTCTCGGGGAAAAGCATTCACTGCTGTTGTCAGTGAGAATTGGACCTCCCTTCCATTCAGGCGTTCAGAGCAAGCTGCCAGTTTGCCATGCTAGAAGGAAATACCAGGTTCCAAAACAACTGCTTGCTGCAAATAGATCCAGGCAGGAGACAGCAGAGACATTTAATTGGAAGGCAAAATCCTGCTGTTAAATAGGGAGAACACAGCTCTGCAAGTAAGCCACTGCACGTGGCAGAGCAGAGCTGGTGTGCAGCTTCTCTGTGCTGCTCAGAAACTCCAGCCCCTCCCAGGACACCCCTTGCTCTGCACCATCAACATCAGGAACACGTGGAGGATCCTCAACTCCTTGATTCCTCATCCAGTTTTACTTTATTTCTTCAAGTCGGTTTACTGTGGCTTTATCTCCTTCCCATAAAATTCACTAGGTGTACTCGTACAGATAAGAGGCCAAACCTTTAAACACCTTGCAGGCTCTGGGTGCTCTGCAGACAATGAATCAGAGCCCTTCCCTAGAGATTGCCAGCCTGAAACACCTCAGGAGAAGAAAAGGACATATATATGCTGCACATGGTCCTTGCCTTGCTTACAGCTTTGGGAGCTGAAGGATCCCAGACAGCACCAGAGAATGAGACTAAGAAAACCACGGTAGAATTGCTCAGGTTTCCATGATTTCACTAGAAAAGCATGAGGAAAACTGGGTTAATTTTCTTGGGCTGAATGTTCACCTTGCAAGGCAATAGCCAAAGGTGCCACCCAGCTCCCATTCTGCTGGCTAAGCTGCTAGCAGGTGGGAATGTGCCCAGCCAACACGTCAGAAACCCCAAACACCCTTCACAACACCTTCCCTTCCTCAGAACTGCCTCCACACCGGGGCCTTGCCCTCCTCCCCGGGGGGCTGAGAGCAGCCCCTCGAGCTCCGAGATTGCCCTGGCTAAAAGCCCAGGGGGGTCAGCAGTGCTGCAGCACCCTGAGCTGGGGTGAGGAGGGAAGGAGCCCCTAAAGCACCCAAACCTCGGCCCCAAAGAGCCGGGACAGTCCGTCCCCTGCGGGGAGTTCTGAGCAGCAGAAA